CCCTCCCTCCCACCCCCCTTCCCCATCCCTCTTCAGGCACCCTTCTCACGAGCAACTCCTTATCCAGGAGATGCAGGCACTCCTTGCCGCAGGGGCAATGGAGGAGGTGCCTCAGGAGCTAAGGGGCAAGGGATTCTATTCCCAATATTTCCTAATCCCCAAAGCCAAAGGGGGTCTCAGACCCATTCTAGACCTGCAGGCCTCAACAGATTCATGGTGAATCTGAAGTTCTGCATGGTCTCCCTGAACTCCATAATTCCTTCTCTGGATTGGGGAGATTGGTATGCCGCCCTCAATCTCAAGGACGTGTATTTTCATATATCCATACGTCCTGCTCACAGATGATACCTCAGGTTTGTGGTCAATCACAACCATGTCCAGTTTAAGGTTCTCCCCTTCGGCCTGTCCACAGCCCCTCAGGTGTTCACCAAGTGCATGTTAGTTGTTGCCGCCTTCCTTCAGCAGAGACAGGTGCAGGTGTATCCATATCTCAATGACTGGCTGCTCCGGGGGCACTCCAGGGACCAGGTAGAAGCGCAGATACGCATCATGAGGTCCATGTTCAACAGGTTGGGCCTTCTTCTCAACAAGAGCAAGTCAACTCTTATACCAACTCAAAGGGTAGAGTTTATTGAGGCAATACTGGACTCGGGTCGTGCCAGAGCATTCCTGCCAGAGGCCCATATTCTAATGCTCTCGGACTTCATACAAAGTCTCAGATGGTACCCTACCACCACAGCAAGGGCCTGCCTGAGACTACTTGGTCACATGGCATCTTGTATGTACATGGTACAGCATGCCAGGATGTGTCTTAGATCTCTCCAGATTTGGCTCAAGTCAGCATTCTGCCCGGGATGCGACAGTCTGGACTCGGTGGTGACTCTTCCAGGTCACGTCCTCCAGTCCCTGCGCTGGTGGCTCAACCAACCAGACGTGTGCAAAGGATTCCCCTTCCACAGACCTCAGCCCTCCCTGTCCCTGGTAACAGATGCGTCGTCACTGGGGTGGGGGGCAAACCTGGGGGACCTTCAGACTCAGGGCCTCTGGTCTCAAGACGAGCTCTCACTCCACATCAACATCAAGGAGTTCAGAGCAGTTCGGCTAGCGTGTCAAACCTTCCAGGCCTGCTTGATGTGTCAGTGTGTGTGAGTCTTGACGGACAACACAACTGTGATATTTTACATAAACAAGCAGGGTGGGGCCTATTCCTCTCCTCTCTGTCGGGAAGCCCTCCAGCTGTCGGAGTTCTGCATAGCCCACTCTATCCACTTGGAGGCGACATATCTCTCAAGATCACAGAACGAGCTGGCGGACTACCTCAGCAGATCGTTCCGCAACCACAAGTAGTCCATCTGGCCGGATGTCATTCTCACCATCTTCCAGAGGTGGGGAACTCCCCATATCAATCTCTTTGTCACTCAGAGCAACAGGAAGTGCCCTGAGGTTCTGCTTCTTCCGGAACCACAGCCAGGGATCCCTTGTGGACACCTTCCTCCTCCATGGTCGGATCATCTCATGTATGTGTTCCCACCGCTTCCTCTCATGCACAAGGTCCTACTCAAAGTCCACAGGGACAAGGCGGCAGTCATCCTGGTGGTTCCAGCGTGGCCATGACAACACTGGTGCACCACGCTCCTGGACCTCTCAGTGGACACCCTGATCACGCTGCCACTAATCCCGGACCTGATTAGCCAAGATCACAGTCGCCTTTGTCACCCAGACCTCCAGTCTCTCCACCTCACGGCCTGGAAGCTTCATGGCTAACCCCCATGGAGCTCCTGTGCTAGGAGGTGGTCAGGGAAATTCTGCTTGGTAGCAGGAAACCCTCCAGTAGGGCCACCTATCGGGCAAAATGGAAGTGGTTTGCGATCTGGTGCTCCCAGGGCCGTTCTCCACTGTTGCAGGCCCCCATTCCTGTCCTCCTGGACCTGCTGAAGCTCAAGCAGCCAAGGTCTGGCTGCTTCGTCTATCAAGGGGCAGGTATATCCTGGCAGCCATCTCTGCATTCCACCCGGGAACAGCCGGGCGGTCCGTCTTCACCAACCCCATGGTAGGCCGCTTCCTCAAGGGCCTGGAGCATCCGTATCCAACTGATCCCTGCATGGGATCTCAACTGATGGGGCCCCCGTTTGAACCGTTGGCAACTTGCTCACTTCTGTATCTATCATGGAAGGTTGTTTTTCTGGTTCCCATTACTTCGGCAAGGAGGGTTTCGGAGCTCAAGGCCCTCACTTCTGACCCTCCATACGCCGTTTTCTTTAAGGATAAGGTGCAGCTCAGGCCTCATCCGTCTTTCCTTCCAACGGTGGTGTCCCAATTTCACTCTAACCAGGACATTTTCCTGCCTGTGTTTTACCCTAAACCCTATGCAAACAGCCAAGAGCAACATCTACACTCTCTGGACATTAGATAGGCGCTCGCCTTTTATATGGACCGCTCAAGGCCGTTCCGGAAGTTGAACCAATTATTCATGGTAGGAGAACAGGGGTGGGCAAACTACGTCCTGTGGGCTGGATCCGGCCCCTCAGGGCTTTGGATCCGGCCCGCGGGATTGCCACACTCCATGGCGCCGTGGGCCCTGCACCGCTCTAGGAAGCAGTCAGCACCATGTCCCTGTGGCCCCTGAGGGAGCGGGGAGGGGGCAGAGGGCTCCGCACACTGCTCTTGCCTGTGGGTACCTTCCCCGAAGCTCCCATTGGCCCAGAATGGGGAACCGAGGCTAATGGGAGCTTTGGGGGAGGTACCCCCAGGCAAGGGCAGCGCGCTCAGCCGTCTGCCCCCACTCCCCCAGGGGCCGCAGAGACATGGTGCCAGCTGCTTCCTGGAGTGGCGCGGGGCCATGGACAGGGCAGGCAGGCAGGCAGGGAGCCTGCCCTGGCCCCGGTGCATGCCGCTGCCACCTCGGAGCCACTCAAGGTAAGTGGCGCTGGGCTGGAGTCCTCACCCCTCCTGCACCCCAACGCCCGCCGCTCCCCGCCTGCACCCCAACCCTTGCCCTGAGCCCCTGCTGCACCTTGCACCCCTCCTGCACCCCAAGCCCCTGCCCTGAACCCCTTCCCGCACTCCGCACCCCTCCCTGCACCACTGCCCTGAGCCCCTCCCATATTGTGTACCCCATCCTGCACCCCAACCCCCTTCCCTGAGCCCCCTCGTATACCCCACATCCCTCTGCCCCAACTCCTTGCCCCGAGCCCCTTCCTGCACACCACATCCTCTCCCACACCCCACACTCCTTCCCATACCCCAACCCCCTGCCCCAGCCCTACATTCATGGCCCTGCATGAAATTTCCCCACCCAGATGTGGACCTGGGGCCAAAAAGTTTGCCCACCTCTGTAGTAGAATCATAGAAGATTAGGGTTGGAAGAGACCTCTGGAGGTCCTCTAGTCCAACCCCCTGCTCAAAGCAGAACCAACACCAACTAAATCATCCCAGCCAAGGCTTTGACAAGCCAGGCCTTAAAAACCTCTAGGATGGAGATTCCACCACCTCCATAAGTAACCCATTCCAGTGCTTCAGCACCCTCCTAGTGAAATAGTTTTTCCTAATATCCAACCTAGACCTCCCCCACTGCAACTTGAGACCATTGCTTCTTGTTCTGTCATCTGCCACCGCTGAGAACAGCTTAGCTCCATCCTCTATGGAACCCCCCTTCAGGTAGTTGAAGGCTGCTATCAAATCCCCCCTCACTCTTCTCTTCTGTAGACTAAATAACACCAGTTCCCTCAGCCTCTCCTCGTAAGTCTTGTGCTCCAGCCCCCTAATCATTTTATTTGCCCTCCGCTGGACTCTCTCCAATTTGTCCACATCTCTTCTCCAGTGGGGGGACCAAAACTGGACGCAATACCCCAGATGTGGCCTCACAAGTGCCAAATAGAGGGGAATAATCACTTCCCTCGGTCTGCTTGCAATGCTCCTACTAATACAGCCCAATATGCCGTTGGCCTTCTTGGCAACGAAGGCACACTGCTGATTCATATCCAGCTTCTCGTTCACTGTAATCCCCAGGTCCTTTTCTGCAGAACTGCCGCTTAGCCAGTTGGTCCCCAGCCTGTAGCAGTGCATGGGATTCTTCCTTCCTAAGTGTAGGACTCTGCAATTGTCCTTGTTGAACCTCATTAGATTTTTTTTGGCCCAATCCTCCAATTTGTCTAGGTCACTCTGGACCCTATCCCTACCCTCCAGCATATCTACTTCTCCCCCCAGTTTAGTGTCATCTGCGAACTTGCTGAGGGTGCAATTTAATCCCATCATCCAGATCATTAATAAAGATGTTGAACAAAACCGGCCCGTAGCAGACCATATGAAAGGTCTCCTGATCTTGTTGCAGAGGATCTCATCGTGAATTACCTCCCGCATCTGCACCTGCTACGAATTGGCCAACGTTCCACCCCTGGCTCTCATGGCCCATTCCACGAGGGCGCAGGCCTCATCAACAGCGTTCCTGGCCCAGGTGCCAATCCAAGAAATCTGCAGGGTGGCGACATGGTCATCGGTGCACACATTTGCCATTCACTACGCTATAACCCAGCATGCTAGAGACGATGTAGCCTTCGGCAGAGCAGTGCTCCAGTCTGTCGTTCCATAACTCCGACCCCACCGCCGAGGTAGGGCTTGGAGTCACCTAACTAGAATCGATATGAGCAAGCACTCGAAGAAGAAAAAAACGTTACTCACTTTCTCACAACTATTGTTCTTCGAGATGTGTTGCTCATATCCATTCCAGACCCACTCGCCTTCCCCTCTGTCGGAGTAACCGGCAAGAAGGAACTGAGGAGGTGCTGGGTCAGCAGGGTCATATATTGAGCGCCATAGAGGTGCCACTCCAGCAGGCTCCACAGCCGACCCAATGGGTGCTGCTAAGGGAAATCTTTCCGACGACTGTGCACGTGGCATGCGCAGGGTTTTCTTTTACGATTGTTTGGCCTGTGGCACCTTGGCCAATCTAATATATTTTTGTAATTTCTGTGTTTGTGTACATTTTATACACTTTTGTACAGGCTGACAAACTTGCGCTGGAGCTAGAACAGAGCCGTGATCTCAGCTGTACTATTGTACACATTGACATGGATGCCTTTTATGCAGCAGTAGAAATGAGAGACAACCCAGAGCTGAAGGAAAAACCCATAGCAGTGGGATCGATGAGTATGCTGGTACGGTCAAATGTCAAACTGATACAAAGACCAAATTACATAAAGATTCGGTGACAGGAACATTAGAAATGCATACAATAACAACACAGATGGCGAAAATGTTTGGTTTCTTACTGTGTAAATTTGGATTTTACATTTCAAAGAACCAGGTAGTTTGCAAAATTTTAAGTTATGAAGAGGTAACAGAAAGGAAAAAGTTTTCTATTAAGCATATAAGCTCTTGGCCTGGCCATTCAATTAAAGGTGGAGAATTGCATGTTGGGGCCTGTACTCTCTTTGTGCTGTATCTTTATTTTGATATTTAGAGCCATCTTAGGCTTGATTGTAGAGCTCTGTGGAGCACACTTTGGTTGGCAAAATTAGAAGGCCTCATACCAATCTAATGTTTAGCTCCTACGTGAAATCAAATGTATTGATTTGTTATTGATTAAAATATGAAAGGATATACTAATTGAGACAGATCCTTAGCCTTAAACTACTTAGATTCAAATTATTTTAAATACATAAAATGAGACCTGCATTTTGAAATCTTTTTTTCCTCGACTGTTCATTATTAGCTAGGGTTGCCAACTTTCTAATGGCAGAAAACCAAACACCCTTGTTACGCCCCTTCTCCGAGGCCCCGTCCCCCACTCACTCCATCCAACCTCCCTCTCTCGCTCGCTCTCCCCCCCTCCCTCGCTCACTAGCTCATTTTCACCGGGCTGGGACAGGGAGTTGGGGTGCAGAAGGTGGTGAGGGCTCTGGGGTGGGGCTGAGGATGAGGGGCTTGGAGTGGAGATGGGGATATGGGCTGTGGGCTGGGGTGCAAACTCCAGGGTGAGGCCAGAAATGAGAGGTTCAGGTGCGGGAGAGGGCTCCGGGCTGGGGTTTGGGATAAAGGAGGGGGTGTGGGCTCCCAGAGGGTGTTTGGGTGCGGGAGGGGGTTAAGGGCTGGGGCAAGGGGGTTGGGGTGCAGAAGGTTGTGTGGGCTCCGGGAGGCAGCTTGGGTGTGGGAGGGGGCCCAGGGCTGGGGAAGGGGGCCCAGGGCTGGGGCAGGAGGTTGAGGTGCGGGAGGTGGTGCGGGCTCCGGGAGAGAGTTTGGGTGCAGGAGGGGGCTCAGGACTGGGGCAGTGGGTTGGGGTGCGGGCTCCGGGCAATGTTTACTTCCAGCAACTCACGGGAAGCAGCCGGCATGTCCCTCTGGCTCCTAGGCACAGGGATGGCCAGGGATCTCGGCGCGCTCCCCCTGTCTGCAGGCGCCGCCCCTGCTGCTCCCATTTGGTATGGTTCCTGGCCAATGGGAGCTGCGGAGCCAGTGCTTAGGGTGGGGACAGTGCGCAGAGCCTCCATGGCTGGCCCTAAGCCTAGGAGCAGGATGGACATGTTGCCACTTCAGGGAGCTGCTTGGAGACACGTAGGGAGCCTGCCAGCCCCGGGCCAACTGTACTTTTAACGGCTTGGTCAGCAGTGCTGACCGGAGCTGCCAAGGTCCCTTTTTGACTGGGCATTCCGGTCGGAAACAGGACACCTGGCAACCTCATTATTGGCAGATTCCCATCGATTTAAGCATGAAATGAAAATTACATTAAAGCATCCAAGAAAGCCTTTAGAATTTATTTATATACCGGTGGATTTTGTCTGATTCTAAAAATTATGCTGATGTGGATTATGATTAGTTTGATTGGCACGTATTGGGCCAAGATGGGGCTGGTTTACATCAAATTCAGTCAATGGAGTTGCATGGGGAATAAATCAACCTAGAATTTGATCGATTGTATATAGTATGCTATAGAAGTGAAAAACGTATAGAATTATCATTACTTTAGAGATATTATCCATTTTAACAGATTTTTGGTGGCATTTTTATTTTTTCTGCTCTAATAAAGTTGAGGGTGCTCAGCACCTTGTAAGATTAAACCTATAGGCTCTGAATAGAGCAGAAGTGGTAGTAACTTAACCTTTCTTTAGTTTGTTTATTTCTTCCTCTGAAACTAGTCCTGGGAAATAATTCAATCTCCAGATATGTCTCCCCCACATAGCCTCACAGCATGTCATGTCTGAGTCTGTTTCCCATATTTCAGTGAGCCCTACTGCTCCTCAGAGTATACTAAAGGTGGAGGCCTTCAGTTAATAAAAAATCAAGCATACTGGACTTTTATTAACTTTTAAAATTAATATTGTCTTGGATGACCAGATATACAAGCAAGTCTTTAGTTTCCATTTTTTTGTTATTAATATTGGAATTAGCCTCCAAAGCAAGAAAGAGGAGTATAGTTTAAAGGGCATGTGAAAGGTACTGGATTGGCAGGAGACTGATGTCCTTTAGCCCTAGAACAAGAATGGCATAGACAACAGCCATACAAGCTTCCACAAGCTGTTCAGCCAGTGTGACTCACCCCTCTTCTAGAGAGACCACCTTTTGGGGGCAAATGGGAACAGTGTCTATGGCCTACTCAATACTGTGCTCTTTGCTAACATTGCTAACAAATGCTGGTTAGTGCTTCTCTAAGCAGATCTGCAAAAACTGAAAACACTTCAGTTAAATAAATATAATATATGGAGATATCCTATCTCCTAGAACTGGAAGGGACCTTGAAAGGTCATCAAGTCCAGCCCCCTGCCTTCACTAGCAGGACCAGGTGCTAATTTTGCCCCAGATCCCTAAGCGGCCCCCTCAAGGATTGAACTCAGAACCCTGGGTTTAGCAGGCCAATGCTCAAACCACTGAGCTATCCCGCCCTCCCCAACTGTTTATCAATTAACAAATTGACTTAATTTGAACCCGCAAACTAGAGATAAAACTGTCCAGTTACCAGTCCCTAAAATCATGTAGTTCTAATAATGCAAATAAATTACAAGCTATGGAACATAACATACTGAATCTAGAATGGAACTGGTTACTGCAGTTTGATAGATGTTCTGTGACAAGAGCATTGTCTCTATATCTTTTTACTTCAGTCTTTAAAATTGCTGCATGTATTAAAACTCACAAGTATGCTGTAGGATATGGTTATTTAACTCTATATCTATTTTTTTCCCTGCTAAGTCCACTTCAAATTATCATGCAAGGAGATTTGGGGTACGTGCAGCCATGCCTGGATTTATTGCTAAGAAACTATGCCCACATCTTACTATAGTGCCATTAAACTTCAAAAAGTATGAAGAAGTGAGTAAAGAGGTAAGTAATCAACGAGAACATCTCTCAAGCCAATAGCAGTACATACTTTTGTTTTAGATTTTAAGACAACACTAAATCAAAACTTGTATATAAGATTTAAAAAAAGTTAATTTAAAGGTTAAATTTTCAAGACATGGCTTTGAATGTAAATTAAATGCAGCATTTAAATTAACATTCTGTGGCAGTAGGGACAAATTCATCCATAATCTGGTTCCATATAGACTTAAGATAATAGAGGTTTTCAAAATTATGTAATGAACAGATGATGTTGTTATGTTGGTAAATTCAAAACCATAGCACATAATCTAATAATTAGGGAACTAGGAGTAAATAGGGCGAGCAAAGAGAATTTCTTCATACCATAATAACCATATGGAATACTAATTACCTGGGAGAGCTATTGAATCAAAGAGCATTAATTACCTCTACATTTGTTTCCAGAGAATGAATGGACTGAGGAGTAAAGTGGAAAAAATTAAGGAGGGAGGAAAGGTGATTAGTGTTTCTTGTCCCTAGAAAAGTAAGGTACATTCCTTTCCATTAAGGAAAAAAAATTATGCATGTAATTAATACATTATGATGAATACTGTATATATTTAAATACTTTGTGTTCTCTTAAGATTTAAATAAATTGGTTTAGATTATAATCTTAAAGCTTCACATGAGAGAGTTGCAAATGATCAGTTTGAATTAACATCCATAGAAATATTTAGAATACATATAACTTTGTATGAAGAAAGATGAAATATATTCTGTAGCTGTTGAGGCAAATTAATTGTTGGCGTAAATCCATTAATTTCAGCTGAGTTACAACAGGGATGAATTTGACCCAAGATCTACAAAAAATAGTGGGTTTTTTTCACTTTACAAGATTACTGGTAAACTAAACACTTACGTTAATTCCATTTGATGTTCTTCAGTTCCATTTTCTGAATAGAATGTATATTATATAAATATGTGGTTTTGAGAATGAATCAGACTTGTTTATGATGTAATCAGGACCTCAGGATATGGATGTAGTCTTGTATTACAGTTTGTCTTGTGGATAAGGGTAAAATAGTTGAAGATTTGTATATATTTTTATGTTCCTTTTGTTATTGGCGCTTCAGATATTATTTCCATTAAGGGAGCATTTGATAAAATGAGGCCAGACTTCCCCATATACAAATTGTTGCACCTTCCATCGATTCCAAAGAGTAGGAGGAAGGAGGCAGCGTTGTTCCCATTTTACAGATGAAGAACTGAGGCACAGCAAGATTAATTAGCTTGCCCATGGTCTCAGTGGCAGAGCCAGGAACTTAATCTAGATCTCCTGAGTGCCAGTCCAGAGCCTGAAATCTGATGTGGAGGGATCACTCTAGTGGTAATAGTATGGGTCAGTCTCCAGACCCATTTAGGGCCTAATGTTATATCCACTGAAGTCAATGGCAAATCTTCCATTGACTTCAGTGATGCAGGATTAGATCCTTAGGCCTTGGCTCCTTCCTGAAAATTTCCATTTCCTCTCATTTGTTGTGGTTGTTCTCATTATATTTATACCATTTTTACTCAGATCTGGATTGAAAATAGCAAACTGATTTCACATTAGCGATCAAAACTTGTTGGGAAGGCTATGTTTTAGTCACTTTCAAGAAGAGGAAGAACCCATGACTATCCTTGAAGATTTAAATCACAAAATTTTACTAAAAGTTCTCAAGTATTTTATAGTGAAAATGAAGCATTTAAAACTACAAAAATAGGTGTCAGAATTTTATTTTGAGCATTTACTCTAAGTTTTGCATATCATAAGACCCTCAAAAGAATATTTAAACAAGAGATGACTACTGTGAGTGGTTTGGGGAGATGAAGATCTGATGGACATAAATGGGTTTTAAGGTCCATTAAGTAAATTTCTTTACTACAAAGAAATGTCACTATCAGATTGAAAAAGTAGTACTTTTACACACCACTTGTGTAAGAAGCGGCTTATTTTACATGTTAGTGTGGTCAGAGCAATGAATTATAATTTCTTAGGTGTAAGAAACCACACAACTTTTCTGTATTTTATCAAAAGAATTGCAGTATGTAAATTAACTAAAATGAGCTGTATGATTATTGGTAGGGCTAACTAGCACTAAGCATTGCCCATTGTCCTCAACAACTACACTAAAATATCCTCAAGCTGTCAGCTACATCAATTTATTTTTCCTATGGTTAAAGCTTTCTTCTCTTAGGCAACCAGTTTTCCGTACATTGAATTAAATGTATTATATCCTTCAGATATCAATGCAAATCACAGCACAGCATGAAAAACTGAATCAGACCACATACGCATCCCAAGTTTCTGATAAACTTACAAGCCTCTAGAACTTTTTTCACATGGTTACCACAGTGCCATGGGGACCTAATGATGTGAGAGTGTATAGCCACTTAAACATATATCTCACAGCTACCTCTTCAGTAAAATGCACATTGCTCAGAGAGCCTGATCTTTGTTTTGGTGTGTAATACTGACATATTGCTGCTTTTAAATGAGAAACAGAAGTTTTATAAATTTGCCATATCAATACATTATTTATTTCATAAATACTTAGAGTAATGGTACTGATTGTCTGATCAAAATGGATGTGCAAAGTGTGCGTGTTATTGCAAAAGTATCAACTTCATTTTAATACACACCAACATGTTTTGCTATTGCAGCACAACTTTAAACTTTCTTTTCCTGTTTATCAAGGTTAGAGAAATACTGGCTGAATATGATCCTAGTTTTATGCCCATTGGCCTAGATGAAGCCTACTTGAACATAACGGAGTACTTAGAGGAAAGACAGAACTGGCCTGAAGATAAAAGAAGTTACTTCATCAAAAGAGAAAACATTGCAAAAAATGGTAACCAAATTACTAAATATTATAGATATTAGCATACTAAATTGGAAATTATTATATATGAAAATTATGATGTATGGCTCCGTAATCAGTTATGAAATGTAAACAAATCTCTTCCCTATTAGAGAGGATCTTGACTCTTTGAATAGGTATTTTATAGCAAACGGCAATCAGCACCATGGTATGTAAGCCCTAACTTCACTTTAGAAGTGTCAGAAATCGTGTTACAAAGGCAATGCACCTGAGCTCCATTAAAGTGCATTACAAGAATAAAATTACATAAGAAATGAACTCTTCAAAAATAAAGAATGATTAAAACATGATTACACCAGTTCTTGCTATTGGAATGTGGAAAGGCAGAAATTCCCACAGAGGGATCCACCATTGGGGATATTAAAAAGTTTTGTAGGCAAAGTCTTGTGCCAGTTATTGACTTTATGCGCAGACAAACATCTCTCACATTTCTATCAACTATCAAGAAGGCCATTGAGGAGATAAACAAGAATACACCTTTCAGTTCTACTGAAAAACACTGGCCCATCTTCTATCAGAACAGAGATGTAACAAAATAGGCATTATAATCATGTCGCATATTGGCAAGTATGCACTTAGGCATGTCTATCGTCAAAATAACACCGTTTTTGCTTAAATGAACAGGCTTCTTTTTTTTTTAATACCATTTGCAAACCCTCAGGACATGTAATTCTCAGTGAAGTCAATTGTGGTTCTGTATGTTGAAGGCATGTAGAGTCAGACCCCGAGAATCATAAAAATGAAGGACTGGAAGGGAGGGACCCCAATAGGTCATTTAGTCCAGTCTCCTGCACTGAGGCAGGACTAAGTATTATCTAAACCATCTCTGACAAGGTATTTGTCTAACCTGTTCTTTAAAAATCTCCAATGACAGAGACTCCACAACCTTCCTAGGTAATTTGTTCCAGTGCTTAACTAATCTTACAGTTAGTTTTTCTATGTCTAACCTAAATCTCAATTGCTGCAATTTAATCCCATTACTTCTTGTCCTGTCCTCAATGAATAACAGTTTATCACCGGAAAGAGGTGGAGAAGGGGTGGAATGGGGATAGAGAGGGGGCAGAGTGGGGTGGGCTGGGGCCGGGTCACTTGCTGCTGCCAGTGCCAGGCCCCCCACTAGACCCCCAGGCTATCCTGGGCCCTGCATCCCCGTGAAGCGCAGGGCCGCCCAAAGTGCGGGGCCTGGGGCGGTTGTCCCAGTCCATCCTATGGATGGGATGGCTCTGATTGGATCCGTTCTGGGCACCACCAAAAATTATACAAACCTGGCGCCCATGTTTGTAACCCCTCACAGCTTGGTATCATCTGCAAACTTTATAAGTGTACTCTCTATGCTATTATCCAAATCATTTATGAAGATATTGAATAGAACTGGACCCAGTGCGGGAGCCCATTCTATGCCTTTCCAGCCTGATTTTGAACTATTGATAACTACTCTCTGAGTACGGTTTTCCAGCCAGTGTAAGATGAACTTATAGTAGGTTCATCTGGGCTATATTTCTTTAGTTTCTTTATGAGAAGGTCATGGGAGGTGGTATCAGAAGCCTTAATAGAGTCAATATATATGACCTTTACTGCTGCACCCCTATCCACAAGGCTTGTCACCTTGTCAAAGAAGGATATTAGGTTGGTTTGACATGATTTGTTTTTGACAAATTCATGTTGACTGTTACTTATTACCTTATTTTCTTCTAGATGCTTACGAATTGATTGATTATTTGCTCCATTATCTTTCCAGGTATCAAAGTTAAGCTGACTGATGTATAATTCCCTGGGTTGTCTTTATTCCTCTTTTTATAGATACGGACTATATTTGCCATTTTCCAGTCCTCCGGTATCTCTCCCGTCCTCCATGAGTTTTAAAAGCTAATCGCTTATGTCTCAGAGATCTCTTCAGTTTAAGTAATCTACTATATATTTCATCAGACTCTGCCAACTTGAAGACATTGAACTTGTCTAAGTAATTCTTAATTTGTTCTTTGCTGATTTTAGCCTCAGATCCTACCCCATTTACACTGATTTTCACTATGGTAGTCATCCAATCATGCTCCCCAAACCTCAAGGGCCAAGTGCATCTGGAATTGCCATTTTGCTCCTGCCATGGGCCATAATCAGCATAAAAAGTATTTTTCTCTCTCTCCCTCAAGGACACAGTGGGCCTGAATGTTCCCCAAGATGTTGTGCAATTTACACATGATCTCACAAACACATCTACTCCCATTTGTTCTTTCCATTTTTTTTCTCAGTTTTCTTTTCAACAAATCTCTTAGCTGTTGAAAATATGTGCAAACCTTGGTAATATTTTCCATATTATCTAAGTACTATAATCTTTTTCAGTTTGTTACCTTCCCTGCTTTGGTACGTTTGCAAGCTGCACTGCAGAGCCCCACACTGGACTTCACCTGGTTGGGTATACCTAGAAGATATTGGATAGAGGTGGTCAGAAATTTTCAATGGAATGTTTTTCCATTAGAAAATGCAGATTCATCAAAAGCTACATGTTCTGCATGAATGTGTGTCTTTTGACAAATCTTTCAGTGGCAACCGCTCAGCAGCTCAGGTTACCAAGGCTTCCAGACTCCAGGTTCCTCAGCAACCCATATGGCAAGGAGTTTGGGAACCTGGGCTCACAATCTCCCTGGCTTTCCTGCAACCTGCCTGGCGCTAGGAATGTGAGCTCCCTAGTAGCTCACCAGGTGAGCTGCCCATGAGGCTGGGAAGCTCTGGCTGCTGGGAGCCTGAATTCTGCTGCAGCCTACCAGGTGAGCTGCAGAGGAACCAGACAACTTGTGATTCTCAGTATCCTGCTTGGGGGGCCACCTGGCAGACTGCAGCAGAGCCAGAGCTTCTAGGCACTCTTGTTTCAGAAACACCAGAATATTCCCACAGAGAGATTGTTTTAGTGTTTCTGAAAGAAAATATTGCAGAATTTCACTTCCACAAAAAAACTATAATGTTTTAACTTTTTATCTCAATTTGGGACAAAAACGTTTCCAAAATTTCAATTTTCCCCCCCACCAAAGTGAAATTCAGTTTCCTGGCCAAATCTAATCCTGGGCCAAGCTCAAATCGCATATACAATGAGGTGGTTATGACCTTTCCTTTTTAAAAAAATGTACCAGTAATTGAAATTATTTCAGCTACATAATTACTTGAACTTTGCAAACAGAAAAAAGTGAAATAGCTAAATCAGCTTTTTTCAGGAGCTATGCAGGGGAATCAATTCACAAAATATATGTTGCTTATTAAGAAGGATGAGTTACACATATGTGTATCTGTTTATAATGTAGGTAAGCAAGATGTAACTGCACCTGATGAACTAAAGTTGAATGAAGATGCACACTCATCCTCACCAATATTGTTTGAAGATAATACTTCTATAACAGAGGAACAGCCTGTTGCTACTTCCCACCTGTACACTGAAGAACAGAGAGATCAAGAACTGTTGCTAAATTCAGTGGTCTTTGGAACTTCAGCTGAAGAAGTTGTGAAGGAAATTCGCTTTCGGATTGAACAAAAAACTGGATTGACTGCCAGTGCAGGTACACACATGTACATAAATAATAATATTTTGCATATTTGTAGTGCCTTCCACCCAGTGATCGCAAAGTGCATTACAAGCATTTAAAAAATTAGCCTTGCATCTCCTCTTTGATGTAAGGAAGTACACCCCATTTAAACTGAAGCACCAAGATTGTGAAGTGCTCAAGGCCACATCACACAAGAAATCTCAGAGTCAAGAATAGAACCCAGTCTTATGCTTTATTTAACCACAAGAAATCTTTCTTCTTTAATTAATTGCTATTGCTGGCATTGTATTCTTTTGGTTAATGATAGCAGTCAGATCATCCTTTTTCTTCCTGGTTTCCTTTTCAATCTTAACTCCTCCGCTAAAGTGGAAAAGTGACCCAGTTGGCTCAGGCATTAGTCTTACACCTCTGGACAGCTGCATTTAAATCTTAATTTGCCCTACTGATTTTGTAAGCCTTTGATCAAAGATAGATTTAACATTGGAATGCTATAGTTACTACTAGTTAGGATAAAGGCACATTAGCAGAGCTGTGTGGAGAAACATGTTCAACACTTGCCCATCCTGTGCCTTGCTCAAGCTAGTTTTTAATCACTTTCTTGAGCACTAAATACACTGACATGTTAAAAATAAAATAAACTGTTTACCAGACAGGTTAGTATTTACTTTTCAAGGCAGTGGCAGTTTTAGATCTGTGCAGCTCGTACTTGCCCAACTGATCTTCCAACTAGAACTCGATCTATGATAGCCTGTCTGAATCGCCCCTATTAGGCTGCTTCAGAGATCAAATCCCCGAACTGCATTCAGTCCATTAGTTCAGATAGTTGCTCTTCAGGACTCTTAGGGCTAGTCTACAGCGCTGGTGCACTGTCTACACTGTGCTTTACAGCGCTGAAACTTGCTGTGCTCAGGGGGGCATTTTTTCACACCCCTGAGCGAGAAAGTTGCAGTGCTGTAAATTGCCAGTGTAGACAAGCCCTCAATGACTTGCTGATCTGTGTAAAAGAGTTATCAGGGCCTGCGGAGGTTGGAGCATGGGGAGTAGGGGTGAGGGGGGCGCAGGCAGGAAGTAGGCAGGGGAAATGTCCTGTGAAAACACGGGTAGAGGAGAAAGTAATAGGATGGAACAAAGCTGGATGACACCCAACATGTTACTTCATATAGGGCCCTGCAAAACTCAGAAGCAGTACTGCTTGACTGTCAACAACATTTTTAGTTTCATTTCTCTAAAATTTCATCCTCTTCTGGATGACTCACTGTTTAGAAAAGGGGGGTTGGACCTCTTAAGAATGCTGGGGATTTGATGAACGAAAATGAAAAGTGATTACTGTTTAATAATCTGACAATCTAGAAGGCTAATTGGACTATCAGTAAGCAGTGATATACAAAATGGTTCCTAGCATCACCAGGAATAAATTATAATCACTATAAACAGCAGTCAGTCTTTAAATCATCGAGGCTATAGAGAAGAATCAATCTATTTGTCACCTGCTGTTCACCTCTTTTCACCCTAAGGGCAGGTCTTCACTACCTGACGATCTATCAGGGATCAATTTATCGCGTCTCGTCTAGACGCGGATAAATCAATCTCCGAACGTGCTCCCCGTCGACTCCGGAACTCCAGCTCGCAAAAGGCGGAAGCAGAGTCGACGGGGGAGCGGCAGCAGTCGACTTGTTGCCGTCCTCACGGCCAAGTAAGTCGACCTAAGATACACTGACTTCAGCTACGCTATTCGCCTAGCTGAAGTTGCGTATCTTAGGTCAAGTTCCCCCCCAGTGTAGACCAGGGCTTAGTACCAACAGGGTTCATCTGTTAAAACCCAGTTATTTTGTGTGATGATCTGGGGCTCTGTCCATATAATTTATGATTTCTAGTTGATATTATGAAGTTGTATTATGAAAAACTGCTGTATCGTGAGTGTCTTTGTGTATGTGGATCCACCATTACTGATAGGTCCTATAGCAGGGACAATAGGGAATTCTAAAGTTTAACAATGGTACTTTAACCACTCCAAAGTTATGCTAAAAAGCAGCTGCATCCTTAGAAAACCATTGTTATCTTATCTCTCTGGACAGAGCGGGGAGGGGAGAGGTAGGAGCAATGGAAAGTTACTCAAAAGACAGAACAAAGGAAGTTGGAGATGGGGGCGTTAAATAGCAAGGAAAAGGAAGTGTGGAGCAGGTGAAAGTAAGATATCACAAGCTGGGGAAGGGACTCCATGACAGAAATCACCCAGCATGTAACAGCCTGCATGAGGCCTGGCCTGCCTGCCTGCTTTTCTGGACACAGATGGTCCCTAAGGGCTCACAAGGGAATTGTGAGCTGGGAAGTGGTGTTGTGGTTAAATGTTTGTTGTTCTGTAGGATCTATGCTCTTCTGTACATGACTAAGTAAAAGAGCATTAAGATAAGAGATTCTATGCAGCATGTGTGAGCATATGTCATATGCTTTATAACTACTGTGAGCTCCAGAAGCTTCACACCTTTGGGAGTGTAGTTTTGGGGATGAGTATGTTAAGTAACTGGGGTACCTTGGGGATCAGTGCTGGCCCTGGGATCTAAGGTGCAAGTGGGCTGAGAAGCTCTATGACTGAGCTAATTTGCCAGTGAGACCAAGGGAAGAAACAGGGCTGCAGCCTGCTGAGATTCTGGAAGGTTAAAACATCCAGGGAGCCAGAGGCTTGGGTTCCCCTCACACCAGTCCAGTGGATGGCTGGAAGGGAGTGCCCAGCTGGATCTGTGGCACTCTATTTACTAAAAAGAGTAAAAAAGACACACGCAAATCAATAAAAAGGATAAATCGCCCTTAATTCTCAAGAACAGATAGATATTCCATCTATCCTAGATATTTACATGATACCCGTTACCATAGTATTTGAACACCTCACTGTTTTTAATATAATTATTTTCACAACATCCCTGTGAGGTAGGGGAGCATTATTATCCCTTTTTTACAAATGGGAGAACTAAGGCACACAGAAGCTAAGTGACTTGCCCAGGGTACCATAGGAGGTCGCTGGTGGAGCAGGGACTTGAGCCCAGCTCTCACAAGTTCTAGACTAGTACCCTAACCACTGGACTGTCTTTCCTCATCCTTGGTGAAGCTCTACTACAATGTTTAGGTTGTTAAATGTGTCATAACTATATGCCATATGTTTGAACTTTAATTGATTGAGATACCTCATTCATATTTAGACCAAACATAACTTCTCTTCCACACCAAGCTTTCTCTTTTACTGTAAATTACTGTCATATTAATGTGTAATCATGTACCAAGTTGCAGAAAACTTTGCGTTTAAAGAAACGTAACCCTCATCACTTAATTATATATGTTGCATTTATATATAATCCCTTTCATCCTGCATATCTCAAAGTATTTTATACACCTAACCTGATAGACAAACTATACACAATGAGTGCTTTAGCCACTATTGCATAGCTAAAATGAAACATAGCAGTTCTCATGTCCCCAGGAGCACCACCAGCTTTTTTGCTGTCCAGGCAGCGGAAGGTCCTGCCCCCGAAATACCGCCCCCAAAATACCGACGACGACTGAGGCGGCCGAAGATCCGGTCGCCGCCCCCCAAATGTTAGTGCCCTAGGCGACCGCCTAGGTCGCCTAATGGGTTGCACCGGCCCTGCATGTTCCTATTCTTTCAAAAAGTGCCAGACGACTGTAATGACCAAAATGGGTGAGAATCTCTGTTTTACATCAGTCTTCTCCTTTCTGTTCTTGTTTGGTCATTGCCACGCATAGGATGATTAATTTTACACCTTTAAATCTAGGAACATTGAAATAGAAGATTGAGTCTTATGGTTAAAATGTCTGTTGTGTTTCTTCCTTTGTTTTGTTTTGTTTTGTTTGTTTCTAAGGAATTGCTCCAAATATGATGTTAGCAAAAATGTGCAGTGATCAGAATAAACCTAATGGACAGTACAGAATCTCCCCTGATAGGCAATCTGTAATGGACTTCATCAAAGATTTGCCCATTAGAAAGGTGAGAATGTTATCAAATTTACTATACACTCATGTCCTCTTTATGTGAATACTAGTGTTCTAAAACAGATAATTTACTTAAAGATAATTTCATTTCTTCAGTGCCAACCTAGTTCTAAAATTGTGTTTGAGTTGAATTGTACTAAATGTTAAACATTAAGCATTTATCCAAAGATTTCAAAAATTCCAACTTCATTGAGACACATTAATTCTTGTTCTTCAGGTGCCTGGTATAGGAAAAGTAACAGAGAAAATGTTAAAAGCTCTTGGAATTCTGACCTGCACTGAACTTTACCAGCAGAGGGCACTGCTTTCTCTTCTTTTTTCAGAAACATCTTGGCATAATTTCTTGGATGTCTCACTTGGTTTGGGTTCAACGGATTTGGAAAAGTATGTCTCAGTATATGTTTTACTGTGTGAACTTTACGTTTTGTTAAATATTTCCCCAAGTGTGTTACACATCTTATACATTATGAATGTTATAAGATAGATTTGCTGGGTTTGACATTAAAAATATCTGTCAGATAAGTTTGGATAGTATCATATATAAAAATTGTGACTGTTAGTAATATCTTACACATAACATCTGCTTTATTGCTGTACCAAATGTTAATTTACAAAGCAACCATTTTTTTAAAAGTGAAGGATTTGTTAATGTATGATCCTTTGGAGTACACAGAATAGGTAGAGAGCTTATAGAACCAAAATCCCTGTCTGGTTTATGAATCTAAATGGTCTGCCAAACAAAGCTCTGGCCATACATGCACACCAAGAAATGAATAGCGCCTAGTTTTAGACAGCTGTATGGCGAGCACGTGTTGTTTAGAACTGGGGTTCTCAACCTTTTTCTTTCTGAGGCCTCCCACAACACACTATAAAAACTCCACGGCCCACCTGTGGCACAACAACTGATTTTCTGCATATAAAAGCCAGGGCTGGCATTTGGGAGTAGGAAGCAGGCCAATTGCCTGGGGCCTTACGCCACAGGGGCTCCTGTGAAGCTAAGCTGCTCAGGCTTTAGCTTCATCCCCCACTGGTGGGGCTCAAGGCCTTGGGCTTCAGCCCCAGGCGGTGGGGTTTCAGCTTTCTGACCTGGGCCCCAGCAAGTCTAATGCTGGCCCTGCTTGGCAGACCCCCTGAAACCTGCTCACAGCCTCCTCCCCCCCGGGGGGCCCTGAGCCACTGGTTTAGAATAACCTTATCAATACTAAAATAGATTATGAGATATGTCATACATATAACTAACCTAAACAGGGTTTATTTTATTATATTTATTTAGCCTTATCATAGAAGTTCACAAGTATTTCTTCCATGTAGTTAATACACCTTTGCTATTCGTAATTATTCCTATATGATCTTAAAACAAACACATAGTGTCAAATCTTCAGCTGGTGTAAATTATCACAGCTCCATTGACTTCAATTGATTACATCAGTTGAGGATCTGTCCCTAGTTTCTATGTCTCCTACCGTGTTTAGATATAATTTTTTTAAATTGATAGTATGATTGACTCTGAATTTGTTGGGGTAGAACCCAACGTTCGTGTTTCATTCTTCATATCTAATCTAATCCATGGTATTTTTGAAGCTCCTGTCATCGTGGTATCTAAATGCTGCCCTTATAGGCTCCCAATGGAGAAAAAGAGGGGCCAATATCTGCTCAAAAACTATCACCCTCCCACACACCTGTCTTGAATGCAAATACACATCCTCCCATCACTCTAAAACCACAACTGAACATTTTGCCATGCTGCTCATGTTTAGTAAGCAAGAGCCCTAGTTAAAGATTCTGAAATCCTTTCTATTTAATTCTGTCATGCTGTTGCTTTTGGGTAACATTTTCAAAAGCACCTGAGGGTATGTCTACACTGAAAGTGTGGGGTAGGGGGGAGTGAAAGAGGGGTAATCCTGTGACAGCAAGTCTCAGGCTCATGGGGCTCACTCTACAAGGTTAAAAATAGCAGTGTAGAAATTCCCTCTTGGGCTGGAGCCCAGACTCTGAAACCGTCCTCTCCTGCTGGGTTTCAAAGTCCAGGCTCCAGACCAAGCAGGAACATCTGCATTGCTATTTTTGGCTTGTAGTGCAAGCCCCACTAGCCTGAGTCAGTTGACCTGGGCTCTAAGACTCATTGCTGTGGGGGGGGGGTGGAGGGGAATGTTTTTTTCTTTTCTTTTTGCAGTGTAGAATTTGGAGCCTAAGATCATTTTCAGAAGTGCTTTGGCACTTAGGCTAAATCTCACTGAAAGTCACTGGGACTTAGGCTCCAAAGGCTCTTAAGCACTTTTGAAAATATTACCTCTTGTTCTTACCATTGCTTCTCTGGTATTAGCAGAATGAGAAATCCTTCCTTTAAGACTGCAAAATAATCTCATAAGTAGTCAAAAGAAAAACAGCTGTTTAACAGCACACATTTTGAAAAACAGTTTGGGGACCCTTTAGGTTTGAAAAGCACAGTATAGATGTAAGCTATCATTTATTTAAAAAAAATAAAAATAAAAAAGTCTTCACATCACAAAAGCTTAGATCAATATATACCACCACAAATCTTTGTATTTTTTTCTGAAGTACATAGTAAATTTATATCTTTAAAGGTGACTTGTGAAGGATAACATGGCTTGTCCAGTTTTTCTGTATGATGGATAAAGAAAGCTTGAAAGTTTTGTTTTTAATTACAAAAATTATCTGCTTGGTTTTATTTACATTAGAAATCAAAGTCCTGTTTGGTCTTGAGTACTTCATAATGACTGTGAAAACTTAAAGCAATAGGGATATTTATAAGAACCAAGAACAAAAACATTAAGTCATCAGAAAGGCAAGAGATTTTTTGTCAGACTCTTTTAAAACTTTGTTTTTTCTTTAATCTTGTTAATACCTATTTTAACTTCAGTGATGAACATTTTGGAGAAAGCAAGCCTTTGTGAAAGTTTCAACCCTTGCTCCTTCAAAAGATGTTTGAGTATACGGTAAATATCCCTGAGACCTCCCAGATGATTGTCCCTTAATTTTTTTTTTTTTTTTTTGAGAACAAACTAGATATTCTTGATCCAGGCAAAAACAAGTCAAAAATAATTATAAAAAAAAAAAAAAGCCTGAAGACACATTGGTTTATACTATATCTCATAAAAAGTGACAAAAGGCACACAAGCCCCTTTACAGCTCACTTTTTAAAAGGATGAAAATCTGATTCAACTGGAAAAAGGATTTTTCCTCTTTTTTAAAAATAAAAATAAGACTGGTATTTTAGTAGAAGCACTTTGCGAGAGATAGTGAGCCAAGAAAGTGGAAGAATTGTATGTAATATATTAATTTGTTTTTGAAGTCTCAAAGCCCTTCTGGTCATTAATGGGTATGGCTGACTCATAGTGCAAATGGTTAATTGTATTAACAGCCATTACTGATCTACAGTTTCTTACTTCATCTGTAATATACACAATTTTAAGAGGAAGAAAAACTCCCAGTTTTCCATTTCCTTGCAATGTTGATTTATGCAAGGTTCTCAGAAATGTTAACATTCAAATCCCATGGAAAATATACTGAAATCTTCTCAGTTAACTATGAAGGGGTTATTAAAAAATAAAAATTCTCTGTGAAAATGACTGACGTTAATAAAAACATTTTTCTTTTTTAAAGGTACGGAGAAAGAAAAAGTATGAGCACTGAAAGGTATGTATGGTAATGTTAGTATCTAAAAAACAATGCCATTAATCACTAACTTAATAAAACCAATCAATGTAAAATAATGTAGTTGAGTCATCACATTTATTTGACTTGTTGCCTGATCTACTGATTGTATATTATTTATATTGATTACTTACTGATTCCCCATTAACATTCTGAGGCTTGGTAGGTTCTTGTCCCAAGATCAGACCCCGTAGTATTAGAATTACTGTTCAGTTGAAAACCCCAATGTGCACAGTTGCAACACACACACTTAGGAAAAGCCTTTTGAATTTGAAATAGTTTTATTAACACAATTTTGTAAAGTCACAAACACTCCAACCCAGCAAGGTAGATAAAGATAATACAGAATGTGCGTTTGAGCAACCACATACTCACAATGTCCCTTACAAAACAACCCAAAATGTTAGTTGTCATTCTCACCATCATTACCAGTAGTCATCATCCTGGCATCTCCCAAAAGTTACATCTCCCAAGACACACCAACTGAGATACAATTTTATAATGTGTTACTCTGACTCCACTATGCCTAATGCATATTCAGTAGGGATTTCTCCCCTTTTTCTTATTTGTATTTCCTCACCCTACTAATGTTGGGGGGTGCCCTTCTTCCATATGTTACTAGTCTGTTTACCTCAAGCTTATTAGCATATATGTCAGTTAGTTACCATGGCACTCCTGTGGTCAGACATCTGCTGATGTTCCTAATTTAAAATATCCCAAGCTGGTATAAACTAGCATCTTGTGGTTACCTGTCAGCAGTTCAGTTATTACAGCATTCTTTCTTGTGATATCTTATGATCTAGGGTTACTCCTGGTTAGCTGCTTATGCTAAGGCTTTTGGACCTTATGTCTTGTTTAGCTAAGCTATTAGGCCTTGTAGGCTCATGTAACGATGCTGGTTCTGGTGGGACCCAACTGAGAGTGCCAATCCAGGACAAATTGCTTAAAGCAGGGCAGTTACAGCCCAAGGCTGGGGTTTCTATGCACACCAAGGTAAACCAAACCATCCAAACAGAGAGGACTTCGGTTTTACCCCATTGGCTAACCACAAGTCACATAAGCAATTCCCTTAGACGCTCCCGTTTCCCAGTGTCATCACCAGTGCCACCCGTTATGGGGACAAATGGTTATGAAAACCAACACCCCAGTAAAAGAAAAAGGTTCCCTCGATCCCAAAGGACCAAGCCGCAGACCCAGGTCAATATACAAGTTAGATCTTACCCACAAATCACGTTGTTGCCAATCCTTTAGAATCTAAAGGTTTATTCATAAAAGGAAATATATAGATGAGAGCTAGAATTGGTTAAATGGAATCAATTACATACAGTAATGGCAAAGTTCTTGGTTCAGGTTTGTAGCCCTAATGAAATAAACTGCAGGTTTAAATCAAGTCTCTGGAGTACATCCACAGCTGGGATGGGTCATTCAGTCCTTTGTTCAAAGCTTCTGTTTGTAGCAAAGTCCCTCCAGAGGTAAGAAGCAGGATTGAAGACAAGATGGAGGAAATGCAGCAGTCTTTTATAGTCTCTTGTCATGTGGCCTTTCTTTTTTTGTTCCAAAGACAAGCATTCGGGCACATGGCAAGAAAAAACCTTACAGTTCTGTCCATAGGCATGTTCCTGCATACCTTGCTGAGTCGTAAGGTGTATCTGCCTTCTTTCAATGGGTCAATTGTAAAGCTGATGGTCCTTAATGGGCCATCAATCAGGCTAAGCAGTGCTGACACCAAATTGTCTGGGGTGTCACTCAGAAGCGTAGCACAAGTTTGAAATACAGACAGTAAGGAGCCAATACTTCTAACTTTAAATACAAAAATGATACATGCATACAGATAGCATAATCATAACCAGCAAACCATAACCTTGTCTTAGTCACCTTATTTGACTCCCTTTATACAAGATTTGGTGCCACTACAGGACCTTGGTTGCAACGATGATCTGTATGGTCCCAGAGTAGCAGCCGTGTTAGTCTGTATCCGCAAAAAGAAGAACGGGAGTACTTGTGGCACCTTAGAGACTAACAAATTTATTAGAGCACAAGCTTTCGTGGACTACAGCCCACTTCTTCGGATGCATATAGAATGGAACATATATTGAGGAGATATATATATACACACATACAGAGAGCATAAACAGGTGGGAGTTGTCTTACCAACTCTGAGAGGCCAATTAATTAAGAGAAAAAAAAAAAAAAAAAAACTTTTGAAGTGATAATCAAGATAGCCCAGTACAGACAGTTTGATAAGAAGCCCCTTGTAAGTATGCTCACACTTCTTATCAAAGATAATCAAGATAGCCCAGTACAGACTATCAGATAAGAAGCCCCTTGTAAGTATGCTCAC